TAGCAAAATAGTGTTTTAAAGTTTTATTTACCGATTGCTTCAATTCTCCCTTTTTGGCTGATATTGATACTGTAGTAGTACTAACCATTCTAGCCCCAGAGCTATAGTTACAATCATTTGTGTTTGTGTGTCCATTCCATTGGCAGGATGCATGTGTGCTCTTGTCTTCAAACAACAAGTGATTTTCCAAGCACATCATTTTGAGTTCTTTCCAGTGACTCATGAAGCCAAATGCTTCACTGGTTTATATAAGTGAAACCCCAGAGTACACTTTCCTATTTTTGACATTCATATATGTAAAAATTTCCTTACCAACATTTCTTCAACTTTTAGTGAGAATTAATTATGGCTTAGCATCATAGTATTAAGAATTTATTCATCTTGGATCAGATTTCAGTTCTAAAATGCAAGCAAATATTTTTCCTTATCAAGGAAAGAGGACCACCTTTGAGAAATTTCAAAGTTAAAGATTATTCACCAAATTCATTTGAGGTTCAACTCTCTCAGATTCTCTCATTCTTTCATTTTATGTATCTCATGTAATTTTAATTCTCTATTTCTCTTCTCATTTTCCTCCTAATTATTTAAGTTATCTCCTGGTGAGTTTTTCAATTTATTTCTAATTTCTAATCATCTCAAATCACCATTTTGCATTCTCATGCAATTAAATGTTAAACCAGGACCAGTGGCCTCTTACAAGTCTGCTATTTGTCTATGCATTGAATATTGTTGCCATATCAAGCCTGAGCCAAGCTCTCATGTTACGGTTGCTTGTCATCTTCACAATGGATTATGTCCAGAAACACAGTGCATGGGTGGGTGCACCATGCATTGACCAAGAGAAACAAAATCCAGCACTCCTCCATTGCCACCAGTTTACTTGCTCAACACCAGGCCACTTATGGATACAAAGAAAGGAAAAATGTTTTTATGTGATTATGAATCAGAGATTTTTGTGTTAACAAAGGTGGTGAAACAGTCAACAGCAGGCAATACCCTAAACTAAGCCAGAGCTGCATCCAAGCAAGCAAATGATCAGCATTTGGTGGGGTTGGCAAGGACTAATTTACTATGAAATGTTTCAAAACAACCAAATAATTAATGCTAAGCTGTATGTTGAACAAATGAACAAGCTGAAAGAAACAATTCAGTTGAAAAAACCTGACCAGCAATACATTGTGATTATTTGACATGACCAAACATACAATTAAAGAGCCCTGGGACCATCTGCATTAGTACAAAAGAATCTAAAAGAGCTGCTGTTCAGGACAACTTTCATTTCACAATTTGATAAGAAAAACTGAATCGGTTCAAGAATTTGTCTGGATACACTATAACTTTTTAACTTGTGATGAAGACCAGTAAACGAAACTCTGTCAAACACATTCAAGATATCCAAAGCAAAACCCAAACTTCACCATTCTTACCTAATGTTTGATAGACTCTATTAAGTAATTGTTAATACATAAGCAGTTAAATTAGAGAAACAAAAGCCATATTGCTTGTCTAAAAAAGGCCATGTCATGTGAGATGCTTAACCAATTCAGCATTGATTAGGACCTGTAGTAATTTACCAAAAAGAACAATCCAGAAACATCCTGATATCACATTGTACATTTATAATATATTCTACTGGATATATTAATTGAATGTTATGACTATAAAAACATTTTAAACCTACAGTGAGGAAATATATTTTTAATGAAAAAATGTTAAAAACCATACTTGGCAATGAACAGATTAAACAAATGGTTCAAAACTTTCATTTATGTAAATGGTTCTATATGAAGTACCACAGCTACAGTAGGAAAAATGAAAACATAATTAGTTTTATTCTAGCACAGTATACATCAGAAACCATAAAACAAATACATTGATCTCTGTTTGCACTTGACTTTAGTCAATACAGTTCTCTATATAAAAGCAAGGTTTAAATCAGTGGAAAGACTTGAAGTGAAAAAAGTGTTAGAACGGGATGGTCATATAAACTGACATCACAGGATTTATTACATAAATATCTTAAATTTTCACTTACTCTAAAAATTACATACATTATATATATATATACATATTATATATATATATATAATTCTCAAAATGTGTGTATATGAGTGATCAGATGTTGTGTATGCGTTTCCACAGTTTTCATTTGATTTCGTTGAATTTTGTTTTGTTTGATAAATAATTCTTCAATGCCAGTTTTGAGTCCAAATTATTGGCAACAATGGCTCTCCACTACTTCCTGTCCATTATAAATCTCAGCAACGTTTTACTATCTACTATCTGTTCTTGGATATATATCTTTTATAAAAACTTTAATAAAAACTAGAGACTTTAAATTATTACAATAATATTATCTATATCTATAATTCTCAAAATGTGTGTGTGTGTGTGTGTGAGAGATTGGATGTCGTTTATGCATTTCCACAGTTTTCATCTGATTTCGATAAAATTTTTGTTTGATAGATAATTCTTTAGTGTCAGTTTTGAGTCCAAATTACACATTCCCCTCTCTTGGCCAAGCAATCAATCTCTCTCAAATAAGGTTACCTTTTCCATTGCCTACTATTACAGTTTTAAGATGTTGCTTTCATTGTCATTTATAATCATTCCCAATTTAATTTTTTTTATTGTCCTGCCAGTTTTTGCATTGCATTCACCATAAGTAATAAGTAAGCTTGCCTTTTTTATTACTCAACATTTATTTTTCCAACCTTTTCTAAAGTTATTCGAGCTTAGTGATTCCTGTAGCTTTACTGCATTCTCTTCTGGTATTTGCCCACGCATTCCATTTGACAATTCATACTTGCCTAAGACATACCACCAAGGAAAAGAACTTGCCTAGGTCACAAAACTACTGCCACCAGGTCCACCAGGTGAATAAGAGATAACAAATTGTCTTTAGAACGTTCAGTTTGCCTGTCTCAAAATGCTTCTGAGAATGCTTCAATCAGAGCCACTGGGTCTGAAGATCAATGTAACCATTGGCATTCCAGAAGAGCATACCTGAACGCTTCTGCACACAAAGCTGAAAATGATGATCAAAGAACTCAACAGCTGAGGAGAAACACCTCTTCAACTGCTGCTGCACATGAGGCTGAAAATGATGATCAAAGGACGGAACAGCTGAGGATAAATACTTCTTCAACTGCTGCTGTGCATGAGTCTGAAACAAGATTGAGAATGTAAAAACAGCCCTTTGCAAGGCCTCCCCCATTCAAATTGTTACCCCCCCCATTTGGGTATATGCCTCAGTTCCACCCAATTGTTGTTACAAATATTGATTTTTTGTCGGTTGACTTTAAACTTAAACTGCTCTAACTGGATGGTAAAATTTCCATATAATGAAAGACCCAGTCTAAGATGGGTTATATTGCTAATATATATATATATATATATATATATATATATATATATATATGTGTGTGTGTGTGAAAAGTGTATATAAATATAAATAAATATATATATGTATAATTATTTATATATTATATGCGCGGTACTTATTAGAAAGCACTCAATATCAGAGATAGAGCTAACATATTTGGTTGGATAGATGTGAGTTTGTGACCCTGGGTTTCACGCTTTAGCGATCGTCAGACAAACTGATTAATTTTTTAAAAATTTGGGTTTATGTAGATTGTATGTATTGGTGTTATTGTGGAAGTGGTGGGGGAAACTTTGTCATTTTGTCATTCAATGTACTAACGCAAATATCAATGTATGCAGCCACATATACATACTTGGTCGTCCGTCGGGACTCATACATATATATAAACATATGTGGGCAGTTTCGGACATGACATATGTATGTATATGGGTGGTGTTGTGTCTATACATACGCATTTGTATGTTGAAATGTTTAAATTTAAAGATTGGAAGTGTGGCGGAAATGTCTCGTGAATGTAGGCATGTCATATTATGTATTTTTCTGCTGAATAATATTTCCTCGCATGTATGTATATACATGTGGTGGGGTTTGTGTAAAATTATGATAGGTAAAAATTATTATTATTTATATTTATTTTTAAATTTTTGAAAAAAAATGGTGTTTTATTTGTTATATTTAAAGCTGGTTATTTGTTTGTTTTTGGTGACTGTGTATATGTAACAGGTAGAAATTTGTAATCCTTATTGGTTAATTTATATGGTGATGTTTAATATTCAATGTGCTGGGTGAGAGGGTAGTTCAATTTAATAACAGGTCTATATGATATGATGTGATAGTAATGTTGCAAGGGATTGGAGACAATGATAATATAATTAGCTAATAGTTATTGTAAATTGGTAGAAATGATTAGTAACGGTGGTGGGAGAATGATAAAACCATGAATGTAGTTATAGTGGTGGTAGTTAGTGGTGGTAGCTTGAACTAAAAAGTGGTTGTTGGTGTTTTATTTTATTTTTATTTTATTTTGTTATATGTATTAATTTATTTTGGTATAAATCCTGATAATAGGTATTCTGTGTAAAATTATGGTAGTTGAAGAATGCTTTTGGGTCACAATTTTTGTCACTGTACAATGACTAGACACGTGATCAAATAAAAAAAACAATAAAAAAAGATACTCTTTTGCTTATTAATGAAGATAGTCTTTGAAAAGTATTACACTCCACTGAGTTGAAATGCTAAAAATTCTGGCCTGATCCTGTTGGCCAATTCCACAGAGGAATGCTATGTAATGTGTGGAGAAATGATCAATGATCTGATAAGCCATGAATTTACTCTGCAGATTGTACTGGAAGCCTGTCCTTGAATATCTGCTGCTAAAATGGAATAATTCAGTGTGATGAATACTGCAGATTGCATGATGGGAAATTTATGGTGGACTCTCAACATAATCACCTGATCTGATCAGGCATAAAATCCATATGCACTGATCAATTGCTGACTTTGTTAGCTATGCTCTTTAACAATTGTGGAAATTTAGATGAAATAAAAAGATGGAAAAATAGCCCCAAGCAAAATAGGAAAGACTTGGCTGGTTGGCCAGTCATCTGAAATGATACATTTTGCTCTCTCTCTCTCTCTCTCTCTAATTCAACATTTCCTTATCACTATTTTCATTACAGATAGAATTGGTATTTGGAGATATTTTTATAACAAATGAGATTCATCAAAACAATCCTCTGTCACAGACAGTGATGAAATAAAGTTCGATATGATTTATGGATATGCAGAACATTACAGTGTCTCATATTTGATTATTTATAGGCTCTACATATCTACCCATGAGATAAAATATCATGTTTACTGATAAGTTTCTTCACTCGGCACATTGAAGTAGTTTTTCAAGACCATTCTCTTTTTTTTCTATTTTTTACTGTTGTTCATCCAATACAAGTGACACTCAAAGTAGAGGGTTACTGAATGTCATAAGAGTGTATAGGAAGAGAGCAAGTGTTGCATTTTATAAGGGTATGTAGGACAAATAACAGTTGACCCTTGAATTGAAATAGTTAAGATTGATCAGGAAAGCATCCCATCGGGAATTCATTCCACATTGCAGCAGTTCTGGGTAAAAAGCTGTCTGAGTGGACCTTAGTCCTTACCAATGGAATATAAAGGCACTGTAGGCTTACTATCGCCTTCAGTCTTTGGTTTTAACATCAGCATTTTATAAATCTATTTATATGTACTTTTATATTTATTTTTTGTTTACATTTTTTGAACTGTTGCCCTCATTTTTATTGCCATATTCACAACGTTTCGGCCATTGTACACTCCAGTCATCTGCAGGTGGTATTTTTTGGAATTTTTAACTGAAACTTTTATTTAATCCATGGGGGTAGATTGTTTTGATTTCATATGCCATGCTTTTGACATCTCAGTTTTAGTTAATTCCCCTTGATAACTCATCTCCCCCAGTTTTGGTTCTCTCTGGTGTGGCTAGGGATTGAACTCACAGCTCTTTGGGTCACATCACTTTTGGATCAATCAACCAATGCTGAGCCTTAACTAAAACTAGATAAAAGATGTATTGTATTATCATGATATTTACTGGGTGGGAGGTAACAGTTATGTCTCAAATTATTCTAGAGGCTATTGAGTAGAAATAATTGTGGATATACCCATAATGCACCATTGACCAGAATATATAAATAACCAAGCCAAAACACAGCACACATGGCCTGAAGATTGCATTTAAGCATGAAACAGACTGTTGCCACTAGGTGTTGATCTCACCGTCCACACACACACACACATATATATATATATATATATAATAATGGACTCACCTCTCCTATTGGTTTTGACATAGGAGGATCTGACAACTAATTGATTCAGTTATGAATTTTGTGTGATAATCTTAAGTGGCACTTAAGACCTGCTAGTGTTTTGCAAAGGAGGTTGCATATGGAGCAAGAGTGAGGATTGTGAGATGAGGTCGCTGTTAGATTGTCTGACCTTTTAGATCTAGCTCCTTACTGGGTGAGAGGAAAATTCTTGCATATTCAATGATATATTATTCATTTACATATTTTTTCTCTTTGTTTATTAATCTATATAAATTAGTGACAACATAGAAAATTTATTTGTTGGTTCTAATCCAATATAGATTGAATGCAAAACACTTTCCCCTAGCCAATTTTTAGGTAATTCCCCTGTCCAAGTTCTCTACTGCCTTAATCAGGTATTGAACTCACACACTTTGGTCCTGTTACTGGATCTAACCACGCCTTTAGCCACTGTGCCATGTGTCCTTGATATAGACAAATGCCAATTCTTAGTTTGTCAACTTTTTGCCATATTACTGTTGCTTTGCCTTATTACTGTTAATTTGACTTGCATATTTTTTTGCAATGTTATTTTCTTTTTCTTGTTGTTGTTATGATCATTTATATTCAGAATTTGTCTATATTTCTGAGATGAGGTATTATGTACACTATTTACATTACTCGAATTATTATCCTCATCTTTGTCGCCATATTTATTACTATGTTTCGGCCTTTGTATGCTCCGGCCTTCTTCTGGTGGTTGGAATGTCGAACTTAACCCTTTATTTTGCTCACTGGGGTAGACTGTTCTAGTTCCACATGCCATGTTTATATATTCAGAAAAGTAATATTATACTACAAAATCAGTCTTAATGTTTGAAGGAAGAAATTTTACTTGAATTCCTGTTTGAGGATATATGGTTAATAATACAAGGTTTGAAGGCAGATAAGCAAGCAATCATATTATATTGTTTGGCAATCATCAAAGCACAACTCTGAACCTAGATACACTATTTACATTATTTGGACTATTGTCCTCATCTTTGTTGCTATATTTATTACAATGTTTCGGCCATTGTACGCTCCGGCCTTCTTCAGGTGGTTGGAATGTTGAACTGAACCCTTTATTTCGCTCACTGGGGTAGCGGAATTCAAGTAAAATTTCTTCCTTCAAACATTAAGACTGATTTTGTAGTATAATATTACTTTTCTGAATATAATTACTAAAATCAGATGTAACTTAATTTTAATGCTGTTGTTTTACATAGACCCATCACTTATTTGCTTACTTATGTAAGGGTATTTTTTTATTATCTCTATATATTTATCCATTGTTTATGAAAATGAATGTAATTCTTGGCCAGCTCAGTTAAAATGGTAGCATATAATATTCTCATTTCACACCTTCCCAGGACAAGTAGAAGATTTATTCTTTTACTTTGACAATAACACATGTGGGCTAGGGTGGTAATTGCATATTTTAGGCAGCATTTTTGAAAATGAAAGATGGTACTGTAAACATTTATTGATATATGCTACGAAGACTTATTAGCTGTGGACACAATAGCAGAAATGCATATTGTTGTTCATTCACAATAGTGTTATGGAGGAATGGACCCAGAGCAACAAAAGAGTTTTATGTTCCATATCAAACAGAGGTCTAGATATGTATTCACTTGTATATGAACAAGAACGGTTGACTACAATTTCTTTTAAATTTATTTTCTTTAATCAATTTAGTATCTATGATCAAACTTGTATTAATTATATTTTCATAATGTATTCCATTGATTAATGGAGATTAGAAGTGGAAAGTTTTCCAGTAGAAAACCTGTTGCCTTGAACTCTAACCTATGTGTGACTCACGTAGCCAGTTTGAATTCTTTATTGGCATTTGTGTTCAGGACGCACAAATCAATATGAGGCTTGGTGGAATTTGAAGAAAATATCAATTCTTACCTTATGAAAAATACTGGACATTGTCCAGTCTTCAAACTTCAAATGATTCGATATAACTGACTAGTATAAGGATACACATCATTCTTCCCTCTATGCTTATGTAGGAATTTTCTGTCTGTTCCTCTTTCTATGTGTATATATTTCATAGATATAACAACTATGAACATATTCATATATATATATATATATATATATATATATATATATATATATGTCTATATTTCTGAGATGGATATTATCTACATTATTTACATGACTATTATCCTCATCTTTCTCATCATATTTATTACAACGTTTCAGCCATTGTACGCTCTGGCCTTCTTCAGGTGGTTGGAATATTGAATTAAACCCTTTATTTCCAATGTGGACTTTCTCAAAGCAAAAAAAAAATAAATTTGGGGGGGCAACTACTACAGTTTTCCTATTGTCAATTATATTTAAAAATATAAAATATTGTCTGTTCTACAGGTAACTCTGAGAAATTTTCATATATATATATATATATAATAAGTAAACATTGACATCAACACTCAGAGGTGACAGGATGTATCATGCTAAATACAATCGTCAGGGCATGTGCCAACAGGCTGTTTCATGCTAGATGCAATCATCAGGCCAAGTGGCCTGACAATTGTATGACGATTTATATATATATATATATATATATATATATATATATATATATATATATACCAACATTTGTAGTGCAACTTAAAGTTTTGTGGTTTTACCAACTCATTAGGACTGGACTTGTTTTTTTAACTTTTAAAAACGACCGTAATAGGCTTTCATTCACAACTTCATGCCTAATGAGGTAGTAAAACCACAAAACTTTAAGTTTCACTACCAATGTAGTTTTATGTATATTTATTAATATATACTTCTTAGTGCTGTTTAAACACATTGAGCACTGTTTTGTTTACACCTTATATTAAATTAAATAAATATTTATTTGCTTATCTGTGTATATGTACAATTGCTAATATCTATTTGGTTTATATCCGCATACACACACATACACATGCACATATATATATATATATATATATATATATATATATAGAGAGAGAGAGAGAGAGAGAGAGAGAGATGGGTTGGAAAAAGTCTATAACATTTTTGGTAGGTGACATTTGAATACTTAATTTTGTTTCAAACATGACTAGAATTTATGACATGTAAATAAATATGCTAAGAGTTAAAATTTCAAGGTGTCTTTCTCTATGATTCATGTGTAGATTATTTGTGAATTTTAAAAGGGAAATCAGAGTAAAATGAGATGCATTTTCATCATTTGATGCCCTTTTATTTCAGGAAAGGCAAATTGCTAGACAAATAACAAAAAAGATATGTGCCATTTATGGAGATTGTGCCATAGCTGAGTGTATTGTTTGTAAGTGGCTCACTAGGTTCAGAAATAGAATTTTGATCTGGAAGACGGAGAATGTTCTGGCAGTTCTGAAGTCTTTGATGATGAGCAAATCAAAACTCTGATTGAAAAACATTCAGGTCACATGACATGGGACATTGCATAACCCACATATCTCATAAGAACATTGTAGACATTTGATAAGATTTGGATACATGAATTGCTACACTGTTTCAGTTGTTGTCCCCTCTGGCCTCCATAAGGTCTATATCAATTCAGATAACCTACAGGGAATTCTAAATGGAAACCTTTATTCCTAGCAGATATGATCAACCAACTAACAGGGAGGTCCTTGTCCTATACTAGAAACTCAGAACACTTTGTGGAATTGATCTAAGGTACTCTGATCCATAGCAAATGGATAATAAGCTTTGATGAGATGAGACTCTTCATAATCATGAGTTGCTACCGATGAGGCTCTGATAGTGGTTCAAAACTGATTGGAGAATGTACTAACATTCTCATAATCTGATGGAAATGCTGACATTCTGTATACAGACAACTATCTTCCAACTGGAGTCTGACATATACCAACAGGAAAAAACTTGGCTGTGGGTTCATCATTTTCATCAGTGATGGTGAACATATACTTCAAGTAAATGTCCCCCATATTAACTCAGCAAGACCTTTGACCCAGTTTACAAATGGAAGAAGGAAATAATAATCAGCTCACCATCTTTGATGTACTAATAACTCACATTGTAAATAGGTTAAAGATATCTGTATTTATAAGCATACTCTTCCGAATAACAAATAACCTGCAAACATAAAATCAGTGTCTGCAGGTGGAAACAGAAGGGTCAAGGAGGAAAACCAGAAAATTGCCACAGTCTCTCTGCCTTACAGCAAGGGATTATTGGAAAAGGTTCAGAAGATTTACAGTCCATACAACATTCAGAAGAAGATTCACACTGTGGTGAAATCTCTGCTAAGTAAAGCCTAATATTGGGGAGAACATGATCAAGAACTGTGTGTACGTCATTCTTTGCAGTTGTAGCAAAGAATATAATGGTGTAACAAGCCACTTGCTAAAAGTAAGGCTGGAAGAACATCAAAAAGTAATTGTGAGACAATGAAGTCAGGCCTGGCTGATCATATATGGAGGAAAAAGAGTAGTCATCAGCCCCTGTGGAATGAAGTGAAATACTGGAGAAGGAAGAACATTGCTGATTTAGGTGTTTGAAAGAATCAGCGCTCATACTAGGAGATCCTCTTCCTAGCATAGAAATAAATATGATATAAGAGCCACTATTAAAGATAGAAAGACAAAAGCAGATATTGAAATATGTGTGATTTTGGTCTTTGCATACTCATGTATTTGCCAATCCTTGTATGAATGCATTTGTAGTTGCATATCTCTGTATAAGTGTGTGTGTATGTATTTCTATAAGTATGTGTATTTTGCGTGTATGAATGTTTATTTCCATATGTATGTATAGATTTTTTCACTGATAAATCAGTGGATATATATATATTCTCATAGAACAAATCCAGTTCATAGGTATTTAATTGGTTAGAACTGTGTGAAACTGACCCAAGTAATCACTTTCCCAGCTGACAAAGTCTCTCCTTACACACAGTACCATGTTCACGAGTGTCTTGTACTTTTTACTCTTGTGCATGGTGTTTTCATGTCGAGCTGATCTCACAAAAATCTGCACACGCCCAACCACTCTCTTCAATTTCCTAGCTCCAAAACTGTGTCTGTCTTAAATTAAGATGTTAGAGTGGCCATACTTCTTTTTCATTTCTTTCACTCATTTTGAACTCCAGGTATATATGTGCTCACTTTGCCACACAAAGTCATTCATCTTGTCTACAAGAATGAATAAAAAGAAGTTTTCAAGATAATTTACTCATTGAAGAAATGGAAATTTGAAAAAGATTTTGATTTTTTAAAGAATTCAAAAAGATTCAAGTAGAAAAATATCCCCCAAAACTGGGATAGGCGGGTACAAGAGGAGGACAACAACACTCAGAAAACAGTCTGCCTGCCTTATGTGAGGGGGTATCAGAGAAAATACAAAGGATCTGCAATCCATATAACATCAGGACAACCTTCAAAAGCTGGATGACACTTCATAAGACCCCCCCATAGAGGAGAACATGACTAAAGACTGTGTGTACGCTATCCCATGCAGCTGCAGAAAGAAATATAAAGGGGAGACAGGCCACCCACTTAAGATAAGGCTTCAAGAACACCAGAAAGCTGTAACACGAGGGGAAGTAGAAAAATCAGGCGTGGCTGACCACATCTGGAGAGAAAATGGAAGTCATCACCCTCTGTGGGATCAGGTTGAGATCATAGACAAAGAACACCATTGGAAAATTCATAAACTTAAGTAATCAGCACATATGCTAGGCCACAAAAATCTCCTGAGCCAACCAAGCATAGAAATGAATACAATATGGGAACCTGTAATAAGGAGTGCCAGAGAAAAGCAATAATAACAACAAAAATTGCAATATCAGCTCTGGTAAAAACATGCAATGATAACAGCAAAAACTGCAATATGAGCACTGGTATAAATGGTTGCTGAAGACATTAGGTTTATAATACCCAGAAATTCATATACAGATGTCTTCAAGGACACATGGCATAGTGGATAAAGGTGTTGGTTAGATCCTGTGACAGGATCTAAAGAGTGTGAGTTTGATACCTGGTTAAGGCAGTAGAGAACTTGGAGAGGGGAATTAACAGGATTAATTAATAGCTGACATCCATTAAACATGGCACGTGGAACTAGAAGAGTCTACTCCAGTGAGCGACATTCCAACCAAGGCCGGAGTATACAACGGCTGAAACATTGTGATAAATATGGTGACAAAGTTGAGGACAATAGTCCAAATAATGTAAATAGTGTACATAATACCTCGTCACAGAAATATAGACAGATATTAAATTAGATAATTCCTGATTTTTGGTAATTTAAGAAAGTGCTACCCTTACCTCCAATTTTCCTTTCAGGGTTTGTTATCTCCATGTTTGGAAACATGTAGTAGAGAATGGGGCTCCATATCAAAGTTTCAACCTTTATCAAACAATACCTCAACTTCAGTTCCCACCATCCATCCACTGTAAAGAGACTGATCACCTGATGCCTACAATACTGCAAAAAAGTCTGAGTGTAAATATTTCAACTTGTTCCTTCTTCAGTTTAATGTCTATCCCTTTGTACTTTTAATTTAAAAATGTCTACATCTGCTACATAAGCAAAGCAGGCAAATGAACAAGCTGAAATGTTGCACTCAAATGAAAAGCTAAAGATACAAATTCACATAGTCTATGGAATAAAGCAAGTACTTCATGTTAGCATTGTATAGAACATTTAAAATGATTTTAGCAGAAACCACATCCATGTCAGGAAGGCTAAAGTATAGATCGGCTGAAATGTACACCAAACATACTAAAGAAGACTAATCTAAATTTTACTTAAATGCCTTATCATTTCAAGATTTTTTCTTTTTGTTTTTATTATACCATGATTTCTTATGAAAGTGAGTGGAGTGGTTTTCTGCTACCTTCTCCATAGTTTGGAGTTATCCTTTGCATCTTTGCCAATGAAAAAAAAGGATGCCTAGTTTACCTTCCATATTTAACTTATTACTTGAAGCAAAGGAAGTGATGGATTAAAATTTTTGCCAATGTTAGTGCAAAGTGAACTCAACAGAATCTTTGGCATCAGCTTCATTTAAGAGCATTCTATACACACTTTCATAAGTCAATTACTTACAGGAAATATTTCTGCCATTTTGTATTTACTGAAACTTATATTGATAAAAATTTTGATGTCAGTCCTCAAAGATTCTTCCAAACCTTCTTTCTTTTCTTTGTCTTTTTCACAATATTTCCACATTTAGCCTAACTTTTTTGAATTGAAGTGTCATTAATCTTATAAATTAATCTCAGTGGTTTAATGGATGATGACTCTGTTAAGGAAAACATCAGAAAGGCTGACACCAAAATTATTGCATATAAAATTTTGTGCAGCATTGTATACATTCTGTTTTCATCCAAGCTGGTGATTTTATAGCTGTGGAATTTTTTTTTTTATAAAACCTTCTGGTGTTTTAGCTACAATATTGTGATAATGAGTTTACATGAAAGTTTTCAAGAATAAATTAATAATTGAAGGAAAATAAGTACTAAATTAAAAAGGTTTCTTTAATCTTTTTATTTCATATATATATATATATATATATACATGAATTATTCACACAAAAACTAATGCAAAGGTTAATGATTTAAATGGCGAGACATCCATCATCGCAAACAATTCAAATAATATACAAAAACCTCCGTATCCATTATGAATGAAATGATCCTTGTTTATATACAACAATACATATATTTTCATTGTCCTCTTATTACTAAGAGAAAAAAACAAGAACAACATCTATTCTATACCTGAAGATGTCTGTAGGAACAGACGAAAGCTTGTAGTAAAAATAAGAACTAATATGGCAGAAATTTATATAAACAAGGATCATTTCATTCATAATGGATACGGAGGTTTTTGTATATTATTTGAATTGTTTGTGATGATGGATGTCTCGCCATTTAAATCATTAACCTTTGCATTAGTTTTTGTGTGAATAATTCATGTATTTGTAAATTGATTGCACGTTTATCGTAATATATATATATATATATGAAGAAATATAGTCTTAAGGTGTGCTATATTTATGGGATAAAGTGCTCAATATCAGAGATAGAGTGTGTATAAATATAAAAGTGAACATTGAAGTCAACACTTAGAGGCGACAGGCTGTTTCATGCTAGACACAATCGTTGCCTCTAAATGTTGACTTCAATGTTCACTTTATATATATATCCTGGTAAGATGAGTATGAATAGAGTATAATTCTAACATTCATGACATTTTTTTCCTCTTTTATTTTGTTGTAAGAAGAGCATGTAATTTGCTTTTAAATTTGATTAAATCATTCAATCACCAGTAATTTACAATCACCTGATGAGATGCTTTGTATGCGCATTGAAACATGACTGCAATTGTGTAGCGATTTTGACATGTTTTCAATGTAATATCCTAAAATAAATGTGTGTATATATATATATATATATATATATATATATATATATATATATATATATGTGTGTGTGTGTGTGTGTGTGTGTGTGTGTGTGTAGGCTTAAAAGTATTCTTTGTTGTTCTTCTCTAGATGCAGTTCCTTCAACTTCCTATGAGCCCCACTCAGGTTATTCAGGGTGTAGCCTTGCCACCCCAGAGGATTCTGGCACAGACGACAGCATTCATGCCATCCCAAGCATATCCGAAGTCATTGATGATATTTCAAGCTCTGCAGGGCTGGCAATCAACTCAATTGAGATACCAACTCCCAAAAAATCCGTCACGTCTCCAATCGAGAACAATTCCATTTCAGTGTCACTGGATAGTAATAAAAGAATTGTCACACGAAAGAGCAGCCGACACAGTCCAAAAAGTGAGGAGAAAAGGAGAAAATACAAAGTACGAACACGGGTGATCAAATACACTTTGTTTATCCTAAACTTTCTCTCCTGGGTAAGTCAACATTTATATCAAGCTATTTTTTATACTAAATTCTTATTATATATTATTTGCATTAGTTTCTTGGAGAATTTTTAATATTATTTCAACATTCAAAAATCTCTGAAACATTATTTTATCTGAAGTTTCAATAAAAAATTTCTTTTATTTTCGATGAATGGTCAATGTTAGTGAAATACTTGGTGTATTCATTAGTTATCTGATATTGCATTAATTTCAGCTCATTAGTAAATTCTTCTTCACTATCTGCTGATAAATCTAAGTTTGATTAGTCACTTTCAAAAAACTCTTCATCAGTGATATCTATTTATTTTCTGTTTTGGAGGGGGAGGAGAAATTTGAAAATTACCCTCATGCAAAAAGCTTCTGGTCACCGATTGAGACACTAATTCACAAAGAGAAATGAACATACATATAAAATGGAAATTTTTATCATTCACATTTCATCACACACACACACACACACACACACACACACACACACACACACAAAATGATTGAAATTCTCATCATCTGCAATTAATTGATTAAAGTTATTGCTTTCCTACATTATTCTTAAAGGTACTGGATTCCACCATTATTTTCTTGGTTATCAAGTTTATATCATTAAATTCAATTTCTTCTCAGCCACGAATGATTTCAATAGGTTTTACTTTGTAGCTGGGCTAATTCCTTATTTCTTACCAGTGATAGGGTTAGCAAGTAAAACAATATATTATCTTTTTATTTTTTTATTTGTTGTGTTTGTCAGGAGGTTCCACTTTTCTATTTTGGAATAATTTGTTTGTATATGAAATATTTAGGGTATTGGAGAGTCTTGAATGTATTTTCAATGTATTTCTCCTGATTTTGTTGTTAAACTAAATAAAGTGGAACATGCAATAGAATTTACGTATGAAATAGAAGAAAACAATACTTTACCTTTCTTATATATAATATAACACCACATTGACAGTAATTTGAAACTTAGTGTCCACTGAAAACCAACCAATAAAATAATCACCGAATTCTACTTAAGAGCACTTAAAATTTGCAGCCCACAGTGTTTACACAAAGAGGGGAAATACATTTCAAATACATTCAAGAGCCTCCAATAACCTAATATTCCATATTCAATGTGAAACAAAAAGCTCACAAATATTCCAAAATAGACAAATCCAACAAATTAAAAGAATATATATATATATATTATTCTACCCACTAATTCTATCGCAACTACAATCGAAAAGAATTTATCTTAACTAAGCATAAAATTTACATCTAAAACAATAAAAGACTTAATCAATACAAAGTAAAACAACAAGCCAAAACCTGAAGGAGGAATTTACTCTATCACCTGAGAAGATTGCCAGAAAGAATATATTGGAGAAACCTCAAGAAGTTTAATTAAAAGATTATATGAACACAAAAGAGATTTTAAAAAATTTAGCACATTATTTGCTCACTGTAATTAGGCTGACCACAATTTTGACATAAAAAATGCTACTCTAATTAAAAGAGAAAAATATTCACCCAGATAAAAATGTTTATAAAGTGATTTAATTGGTAGTTCATCCATAGTAAATTTGTGTTCAGGTTCTTACACTCTTTCATCATTTCTGGCAGATCTTCTGTTCACAATGTAGAATATTTAATAACAAGGATGATGGAAAGAAAAATAATGAATCTTAATGGAATTGGCTAGATTATATAACCAAAACACATATAAAAAAAATAAAAATATTTTTTTCTAAATTTAAAATTCCCAGTGTCTCTTGTTTGTGTGCATGTATAATCGCATTAACGTAAACAAACCCTGTTTGATGATGTCCCAAGGGATGAAATGCATCACAAGTTAAACATGTAATATAAGCCTTTTCAGTGCTCTGATTGATTGATTGCACAATTCTAAGAAGCAAGACAGGTGTTAGCCAACTCTACAAGTTTCCAGTACAGATAATGGAATTGGTGAACCAAATTCCAATTCCAATTGGATCTGCTTATGTTTTACTTGGAAATGCATGAATTCTTCTCTTTCTATTCTCTCGCAATGACAGATATCTTGACAAATTTCTGGACACTGGCATGTCACATTAAGAGAAAAGAGTGAACAAGTAAACACTTGGACAAAAATTATATCATGATAGTTACCTACAAAAAGCAATTACACTGAATTGTCAAATTTTACAGGAACTAATCAATATCAATAAAAAGGGAGATTACCATCGTAAAACCCAAAAAAGTTTATTAATGAAAACTATTTGAAATATTGTTTGGTTTGGTTTGTTTTGTTTTATGGCATATCAACCTCAGTGGGTTATTTAATGCCAAAAAGATTTTTATTGCTGGTAATATTTTTGTTCAAAAATGTATTGCTGGTAATATTTTTCTTTCCAAAAATGTATTGCTGGTAATATTTTTGTTCAAAAATGTATTGCTGGTAATATTTTTCTTTCCAAAAATGTATTGCTGGTAATATTTTTTTCTTCAAAAATGTATTGCTGGTAATAAATTTTTACAAAAATGTATTGCTGGTATTAAAACATATATTTACACTTTCATAGTGTTTTGACCCCAGTTTGAGAGTTCACTATTTGCCCAAAGCTGGGATCCTGACAGGTGCTCCCACCCCAGGTCAGTGTGGACCTGGGAACACCAGCAATTAAGAGATGGTTCCCTGCTTCTCAAAATCTCCTGATCAGAGGCCTTGATGTTGGACGTAGTTTATTGTCTTACACAGAATGCGGTTGTATTTCATCATCATACCCAGGATAGAAATATTGTAAGATAGTGAAATAGAATGCTATGCCATGGAATAATGGTTTCACTGACCATTATTATTATTGTAGAGTGTTTGATTTTCACTGAGTGTTCTATATTTGTGACGTTGTAATGGATTTAGCAGATTTTATTAAATATCCATATTGTCTTTTGAGTATGGATGGAAATGCTTACTACTCAACTTTTAGAATCCTTCTAATTTAAAGTGGTCTATACGGTATTGTTCATAATTTGCTAATAGGTGGAAAACCAGTTCAGATGAATTTTTGACTGCAAGAAAAGAAGGAAATTTATCAGAAATACTTTTAGATATTCTATATGTTAACAACTATATGGGTCATGTTGTGTGAAGAGTCCAATGTAAAGGGATGAAACACATGAGAGAATGAGTAAATCCTATCCAACAAAATTCTCAAAGATTTAAAAAGATGAGAATTTTGAAAGAATTTGCAGCAAACAAGCATTGTTTGCTGACTCAGTCTAAGAATCTGGTAATCAACCCAGAAAACAGAATTAGCAAACTAATTTCAACTGAAGTTTGCTTATATTCAATTTGGGCAAATGACTTAGAGACTTTGTGCTTGAAACTATTTCTCCCTGTGTTCTAATCCATCGTCAGATATGTTGATATAAAATGTTTTATTACTGGCTTCTTATGTTGGCTGATAGTAAAGAGGATAGCTGTGTGAATACTTTGGAAAATCCATCTCCCATAAGTAAGTCATTTATCAAGTTAAAGCATAGCTGATAAAAACAATGATAATATTAGTTTTTTGTGGGATTATGACAGTGAGTCATCAAAGAATTTATGATGATAAGGACAACCAAAGAACCCATTAGTCAAAAATTAAGGGAAAAACCAACAACAATGAACAGTACATAGGTTAATGACTAAGAGTCAAATGTGAAATTTTTATAATGTGAATATTTGACTAATTTCTCATAGGGACACTATTTACATTATTTGGCCTATTGTTCTCTTCTTTGTTGCCATATTTATTACAATGTTTCAGCTGTTGTACACTCCGGCCTTCTTCAGGTGGTTGGAATGTTGAACTGAACCCTTTGTTTCGCTCACTGGGGTAGACTGTTCTAGTTCCACATGCCATGTTTAATGGATGTCATTTGTCAGTTATCTCCTGTTAATTCCCCTCTCCAAGTTCTCTACTGCCTTAACCAGGTATTGAACTCACACTCTTTGGGTCCTGTCACTGGATCTAACTAATGCCTTTATCCGCTGTGCCATGTGTCCTCGAGGACATCTGTATATGAAATTCTGGGTATTATAAACCTAATGTCTTCAGCATCATTTTTTACCAGTGGTTATATTGCAATTTTTGTTGTTATTATCGCTTTTCTTTGGCACTCATTATTACTGGTTCCCATTTTGTATTCATTTCTATGCTTGGTCAGCTCAGGAGATTTTTATGGCTTCTCATAGGAATTATTATTTTGAATCAAATTTAATCAAAGGAATTATCATTTTTGTCTTAATTAATCTGATGGGCATCTGCAGTTATCTGTTAAAAGTTTTGATTGTTCATCATTTGTTAACAAATTGAAATCTTGGTTATGATTGTCAATGACTGCAGGTTTCATTTAATATTAAATGTACTGCTGTTTTTAACAAAAGGAACAGAGTCCGTTCTGATAAATAAACATCACTAACCTAGCATCTCATTAATTCTAATGTCAATGATCTGATTACAAGTAATTGACATTAAATCTTCAAATCTTTCTTAATGTTTTATGTTGAAAAGTAGAAATGAGAGGTTCAATATTAGTTTAATGCATGGACGGAACCTCATAGCCTTCAGCTTTTGACCATATAAGCCAAATATGTACATAGTATTGCTGGCAATTATTAATCACCAAAACAGAATAATAAATCTTTCAAATGCCCCTTGGGAATTATAACTCTTCTTTCTCCTGATTATTCCTCTGGACGTTTGTTGAACAATTCTCAATTAAATAAATTTGGAGCTTAACCAACAGGAATAATAGAACAAGGGTGATTTGAGAGGGGTAGTATGGGGAATAGAAGAGCAATGCCTCATCAAGTTTCTTCTACTGTTCCAACAGGGTGTGTGATGACTGCCTGTTGGCTTCTGCCCCAAATACTTATCAGTAAAACTGGCAAAAACCAACATTTGACCAGACAAACCAGCCAGCTGGACAACTAGACTGTCAGTTGACTTTGAGCCAAGTTTGGTGTGTATCTGCAGAAAAGCCAA